GAGCCAGGTGCTTCTCCTGGTCTCCCATGGGGTGCAGGGCCCAAGCACTTGGGCCATCCTCCACTGCACTCCCTGGCCGTAGCAGAGAGCTGGCCTGGAAGAGGGGCAACCAGGACAGAATCCGGCGCCCCAACTGGGACTAGAACCTGGTGTGCCACACTGCAGCACCTGCCAACTATTGTGTTTTAATGCCCTTGTTTGTTTTGTCTCTAACAGAAGACAAGCCATCTTGCTTCAGGTGCTTCTGAGACAGGGCTTCCAGCCTATCTCGTCAGACAATATGACCAGCCCTCTAGACCAAGCAGGACAATGCCTTCCGAGGTCACCCTCAAATACCATAGGACAGAAGAATACCTGTATCCAGCTCTACACCCATCTGTCAGCTCTACAGAAACCACAGAAGACGGATCTTCATCCATTTTATCCCCACAAGATTATGGGTATTTTCTCTTGGTGGGGAGAACTTTAGGTAGAAAGCTAGAAATTAGCCTATGTGTGTGCGAGGGGCCTGAGGAGAACAAAGCAGCAGCCTAGAAGCAGCCCAGTATTTTACACTGTGAAGTCCTGCCCAGACCCTGAGAACTTTCCAGGTGGCCTCAGCCCTTCCTCCGAGGAAAGGTTCCCAGGAGAATCCTCTCTCCTCAGCACCAGGTGGGTTACCTGGCCTGATAACATGAGGCAATAAAACCTCCACAGCCTCCTCCAAGGCACACATCCTAGGGGAAGCTTCTGCCCAGCACCAGGTGGGCTCCCCAGTCTGATAACACTGAGTAGTAAACTGGGGGAGGAATTTTCCTAATTCACACTTAACAAACCCTTTGTCTTAGAGCAGAAGGGAGAGGGGGTGAAGAGAAAGAGTCAGAAGAATTAGACAGGATCCCTTAAAAATCGAAGTCTGCACAAAGACCACCCACCTGCTCAGCTTCCCTGAACCACAGGCCTGGCCTGCCAGGTGTATTCTCTCTATTTAACCACGTAACCTCGCTTTCCCCTAGTCTGAGTGACTGGGCTCCCTCCCCCTCCCCTCCCCTTCCCTCCCCCTCCCCTCCCCTCCCATAACTAGAAGGACTTCTTTAATTAGAGAAAAAAAGGAAAAACATATTCAGTGATATATTTCTCAAAACTAGTCTTGTGGACTAGTTTTGCCACCTTCAATGAACAAATAATTCCCATATGATTTTAACTTTCCAAGGCATAGAAAACAGTGGGAAGCTTCCAAATTCATTTAACACCATAACATAATACTGATACCGAAGTCATAGGAGGAGGAGAAAAGTGAGATAACCCCAGAGGTTAGCATACTGTTGCCAAATCTACCTGTTTTTATATGGCTCACAGATAAAGAGTAGTTTTTACACTTTTAAATAATTGAAAAATTTTCAAATGAAAAGTAATATTTTGTGACAGGTGAATATTATATGCATTCAAATTCCAGTGCTCATAAATTAAGTTTTATTGGAACACAGCCAGCAACTGCTCATTTTTGTCTTGATTACGGCTGCGCTTACCCTATGACAGTAAAGAGTACTTGCCCAGGGCAATCTGGCCCTCAATGTTTATGATATTCACTATCTGAGATTCTACAGAAAAAAGTTGCCACAATGCAACCTGATGTAGGTCAATCTCACTTACAAATGTTAAAAATCTTAACCTAAATTTTAGTCAATTGAATCAAGCAATAAATTAAAAGGAAAATGCAATAAGTAAGATTTATCCTCAGAATTTATGCAGAATCTATCCTCAAAAGATATCTTTCAGAAACCTATTGTAATTTGTGTTTAAGCAAGTTGAAGGCGAGACAAAAACAATCATCTTGATCAATTCTATAAGATATATTTTATAAAATTCAACACCTATGGCTGATTTAAAAATAATTCTTCAGAGCCAGTATTGTGGATTAGCAGGTAAAGTTGCTACCTATGACACCAGCAGCCATGTGGGATGCTGCTCCACTTGGGTCTTTTGGAAATAACATGAAAAAAAGACAGCTCTTGAACTGTAAGAGGAGATGCCATTCCAAGTTCTTGTCATCACTCACATGGCAGCAAAACTCCAGGGCCTTGATTCTTGAGACCATACCTCCCAATGCAAGAGAGTCCTTCAAGACTCCTGGGACTGCACATCCATTGGAGACACAAGGTAAAAACTAGGAAAGTTTCTCAAAAGCAAATGATATCAAACACATGGCTGACTTTCCCAAGACCACATCATAAACACTTTGTCCCTTTTCCTCTTTTTCCTGGGTGGCTTTCCTGATTCTGCAGGCAAGTCAGGGTAATAATCAATGTACATGAGTGAAACTGACACCTTGAGATTTGATTATTTATTTGATTTTAATGGATTTGGTTCATGTGGGTTCCTGCTAAGGAGTACACGTTAACCTCTTTGTATTATCCTCCGGACAGTCATCATAATGATCTTGCTGCTGCACTGGGTGCTTTCCAGTGTGTTACGCAGTTGCATGAAGACATCCACTGTGTGACAAATGTCTCACTCTAGCTAGAGCAACAAAAGCATGAAGAGAACATTTTTTAAAAAAATCATTCCTATGATCAGTCATCATGACTTGTAAATTTCTTTTTTTATAGAAAGCTTTTATTTAATAAATATAATTTTCATAGGTACAGCTTTTGGATTACAGCAGTTCTTCCCCCCATACCCTAATCATCCCACTTCCTACTCTCCCTCCCATCCCATTCTTCATTAAGATTCATTTTTAATTATCTTTATATACTGAAGATCAACTCTATACTAAGTAAAAATTTCAAGTTTGCACACAAAGTATAAAGTACTGTTCGAAGACTAATTTTATCGTTAATTCTCATAATACAACTCATTAAGGACAGAAGTCCTACATGAGGAGCAAGCGCACAGTGACTCCTGTTATTGATTTAACAATTGACACTCTTATTTATGACGTCAGTGATCACCTGAGGCTCTTGTCATGCGCTGCCAAGGCTACGAAAGCCTTTTGAGTCCGCAAACTCTGTCAGTATTTGGACCAAACAAATCCACATCATGGTAGCAGAGAGTGATGTCAATGCCCAAAATTGAATTAATCTGTTAAAAATGAGAGGCTTATCAAAAGGGCAGCATTGTTAAATTAACTCAAATTTGGCCTAAGGCTGCCTTTGTATCCTGAGTACTTATAGAACAAACTGCAACCTAACTTAATAGGTAAACAGACTGAAAGCCTAACTTAACGGTACATTTTTGTAACAAACACAGCCATTATAGCAGCTGAGCTTCAGCCAATCACAGGCTGCCAACTGATCAGATCCTGTCCAAATAAGGCAAATGTCACACTGTAAACAACCCTGCTGTGCTGCATAGCAGTTCCTTTTTCTGTTCGTAAATAACGCCTGCCTCAATCATTGTACCTTCACTGGTTCTGGATGCTGCCTAATCCTTCACTCAAGTAAACGCTATGAAATTTAATTTGTCTGAAGTTTTTTCTTTTATTATTTCAAAGTTCTATCCTACATGGGATGCATGGAGGACTGGTCTCTTCTCACCTGGTTCAGACCCTAGGTGAGGTAGTAACAGGAACTACTGTAAGAACTGCACAGATGACACAGATACACAGAATCCTGGCCAAGGGACTGTGGGTGGCAACACACAGCCCAGCTTCTCCCTGAGGAGAAATCAGAGTAAGACTCTGGGAAAATAAACACTCAAAAACATTTGTGGGAGGCAGGCTTTGGGCACAACACTTAAGACATCACTTGGGACACCCACCTCCCACATCATAGTGCCTGGATTCAAGTCCCAGAGGTGCTTCCAATTCCAGCTTCCTGATGACGCACACCCAAGGAGGCAGCAGGTCATTGCTCAAGTACTTGAGTCCCTGCCACCCACGTTGGAGATCCACATTGTGTTCCAGGCTCCTGGTTCAGCCTGGCCCAGCCCCACAGGTTGGGGCATACAGAGAGTAAAAGGGAGGATGGAAGATAACTCTCTCTCTCTCTCTCTCTCCCCCTGCTTTTCAAATAAAATAAATATTTAAAAAAAAATCTGAGTATATGGGAGAATTAAGAACGTCACACACAATCCCAGGTACAATGCATGCTCAAAAGAGCCATGTGAAGAACCCAAGTTTCACATTAGGCTGACACCTAGGATCAGTGGAAGCCCAGATAATTGGTGCAGGACACCTCCAGTGTGAGGCAGTTTGCAAAAACTGAGCATGGTGGCTATTAAAAAAAAATAACAAATCATACACAGAAATAGAAAAGTACAGTACATTCAAAGCAACAAAATGATTTTTAAGAGATTTATTTATTTGAAAGGCAGAGTGACAGAGAAGAACAAGAAGAAGAAGAAAGAAAAAGAGAGAGAAAGAGACAAAGAGAGAGAGCGTTCTTTTCATCCACTGAGTCAGTCCACAAATGACTGTAACAGCCAGGACTGGGCCAAGCTGAAGCCAGGAGCCAAGAACTCTATTCAGGTCCCCCACATGGGTGGCATGGGCCCAAGTCCTCAGGCCAGCTTCCACTGCTTTGCCAGGCACATTATCAGGGAACTATATTGGAAGTGGAGAAGCTGGGACTCAAACAGGCCTTCCAATATTAGATGCTAGCTTGGTAGCAGCTTAACCTACTGTGCCCTAATGCCAGTCTTAAAGGAACAAAATAATGACAGAAACTATCTCTAAGGAAGCCCAGAATCCTAATTTCTCAAAGATTTTAAAACTACTCTCTTAAATCCCAGAAAGGAAAATCACAAAGAACTAAAGGAAGTTGGAAAATAGAGGACTTGAACCACAGTGTAGATGAATTGGATCCAACGGTCAGATACAGAATATTCTTCTCAACAACAGTGGAATAGCTATTTTCTCAAGTGCATATGTTAGATCATAAAGTAAGTCTTAATACAGCTTAAAGGGATGAAATTCTGAGTCTTTTTTATGATCAAAATGTAATTAAGCTGAAAATCAGTAAGAGAGGGATTCTTAGTGAGAGGGAGGAAGTTCTCACTCACCCCTGTGAGAGGAAGGGGAAGTCACTTCAACTGACAGTGGCACCAGTGATGACTGTCTTGAGGTCGCCAGCACCAGTCACCACCGCTGAGAGCATGTTCTGGCTGTTCCTGTCTCTCCCATTTGTCTTCTGCCTGGGCCCAGGTAAATGTCGATGCAAACCCATGTAGCCTCTAGTGGCTCCTTGCTTTTGTGCTGCTTGTTCAGTCTAAATCACCTGTGTACAGCTGTCTGCCTGGCCTTCTGCCAAGGGACCGAGTGGGGCTTACAGTGGTGCCTAACAAACTGCCATCCTCTTTCTGTTTTAAACGCTAAAGGCCCGAGAGGGCACAGAGTGAACAGTTTCAGCTGTGTGTGCATGTAAGGGAAGTGTTTGCCGGGGCACAGGGAACAAGCTTTTCTAAGTCTGTTTGAGGTTTGGGAACAGCATGTTGTGGTAGAAAGAAATATCAGAAAAATGAGTCTTCACACAGTCAGCTGCTAGGCTATTGTGTAACCTTGAGTAGATTGGTTATCCTTCCTGGGCCTCACTGAGCTCATCTAAAACATTGAAAACCTATCATTCCATGTAGCCAACATTTCTGGGTCCAACCAGAAACACTAGAAAGAGTTCAGGTGCCGAGCATCTCTTACCTTTCGCTGACTGCGAAAAAACCGGATCTCCAGATCTCCCTTCCTTTGACGCAAATCAGGGGCTATAGCAAGTCCAGCAACACTTTATAAGGATGCGAGAAAAGAATTGACTAATGACTGATCTAACCTGCTTCTTGTTCCTGCTGTCAGTTAGAAAACATGAAGGTTCACCTCATGTTTGGGAAATTACAAGTGGTTTGTTGAAGGCAAAGTGTAAAGTTCAGCGACAGGAGACAGGAGACCAGACAGAAAAGGGAGCTCAACGCTAGCCCTGTGGAGTGATAAAAACAACTAACATTCATTGAGTATTTATTCTAGTTTCGATTTTTGGCCCAGGTGCAATTGTCTCAAGACAGTTCTATGATTCTACTATTCTTATCCCTGTTTTGAATTGAAGAAAGGGTGAAGATAATTTAGATGACTTATCCAAATGTCATCAGCCAGCAAGTGACAAGCTTTTGCCATAGTTCTGAGACACAATGATAGCTAAACAAACATGAGAACAGCACAGAAGAGGGAAGGAACAGAAGCCAGAGATGCCACAGAGGTAGATTCATTTTGTCATTCTATAAATATTCATCAAGGACTGAATGCCTGCCACGTTCTGGGAACATATCATGAGAAAAGCAGGCAAAAATGCCTGCTCTGGGAAGTTAGCATTTTAGAAAGGTATACAGACTACAAACACGACGAGTAAGTAAAAGACTATATAGGACAGTGGCAAATGATAAAAAGGAAGTAAAGCAAACAGGGGAAGAGGGTACAGAATATGGAGGAGAGGCGGCCAAATTTTGGATGGGAGAGCCAAAGAACGTGACAAAGTTGGGAGGTGGGAGCAGCCACTGGGAGCAAGGCGAGTTCCGTTTTAGAATGACTAATTTAAGACGTTGGTGTGATATCCATGAGGAGACTTCCTGAAAGCAGCTAGAAATAGAATGAGGGGTGGGACTGAGGCTGCAGACTTGAAAATCAACAGCATGAAGGTTGGAAGTGAACCCAAGGAGAAAAACGGAATGAGGCTAGAACCTTGGGAGGGAGCTATAAGATGGAGAAAGAGGCAGAATTCTCCAGCAACCAGAGACTGGAGCCTTTGTCTCGCTTTTTTACCTTCTCGCAAAATTGAAGCAGCCTCTACAATTAAATATTCTGGATGTCTTCCCCGTAAAACGCCTCACCTTCTCCTCATTGCCAAGGACACTTCTTGTGACAACCCTGTCTGCTTCACCGATAAGGAAAGCAAGCAGAGGACACTTAAGTAACCTGCTCAAAGTCACACTGTCATGCGGGGGAAGGGTGCAGAGGGAGAAACAGATGTGTTTGCGGGAGGCAAGTGCAGTTGTTTTTAGGCCCAGAAGGAGAGCCTACCTCCAGTCTGTGCTCATAACCATTTCACTGTGTGTATGTGGGATCTTCAAAAAGTCCAGGAAAAATGCAGTTTTAAAGAAAGAAAGAAGAAAGAAAGAAAGAAAGAAAGAAAGGAAGGAAGGAAGGAAGGAAGGAAGGAAGGAAGGAAGGAAGAAACTATGCATACATTTTAAACCTGTTTTGAGCCAAAATAAACTAACCTTTTGATTCCATTTTTCCACAAACTTTTTAAACTACCCGCGTATTATTGTGGTCAAGTGTTCTGGTGTCCTAGAGAAGATGAATGCCATTTGTTCATCCATTTTATTCTTTCTAGAGGGGAATCTGCGAAACATTAGTGTTCACATAAATTACCTAGGCATCTCATTAAAATGATGGTTCTGGGATGGAGGCTAAGATTCTACAGTTCTAACAAGCTCCCAGGTGATATCAATGTTGCCTGCCCATGGACCACACTTCCAATAACAGCAAGGTTCTAAATCCCATTGGACTTTATTCAGACATCCTGGAGTTGGAGGGAGGAAGCTAATTTTGTAACTGTGTTTTCTTTTTTTTTTTTTCTTTTTTTTTTTTTTTTGACAGGCAGAGTGGACAGTGAGAGAGAGAGACAGAGAGAAAGGTCTTCCTTTGCCGTTGGTTCACCCTCCAATGGCCGCCGCGGCCGGCGCGCTGTGGCCGGCGCACCGCGCTGATCCGATGGCAGGAGCCAGGAGCCAGGTGCTTTTCCTGGTCTCCCATGGGGTGCAGGGCCCAAGCACCTGGGCCATCCTCCACTGCACTCCCTGGCCACAGCAGAGGGCTGGCCTGGAAGAGGGGCAACCGGGACAGAATCCGGCGCCCCGACCGGGACTAGAACCCGGTGTGCCGGCGCCGCTAGGCGGAGGATTAGCCTAGTGAGCCGCGGCGCCGGCCTTGTAACTGTGTTTTCAAGAAACGGATACAAGTATTCTGAGGCCCAGGAAAATGTAGTGGTTGGAAAGGTAGACAGATTTTTTTTTAGGATTTATTTTATTTTATTTGAAAGTTACAGAGAGAGAGAGAGGGAGAGACAGAGAGACAGATCTTCCATCCTCCAGTTCACTCCTCAAATGGGCTCAATAGCCAAGCATGGGCTCTCCCACGTGGGTGCAGATGTCCAAGCACTTAGTCCATCTTCTGCTGCTTTTTCCAGACCATTAGCAGGGAGCTGGATCGGAAGTGGAGCAGCCAGTGGAGCAGGAGGCAACTGCCTGCTACACCACGATGCTTGGTCCCCAGGCTGGTTCTTAAATCAAACCGTGCAGGACTCTGGTGCAAGGAGGTTACGATCTGATAGCTCCACTCCCCTGAGCTCCATTATCTGCCTTCAGACGTGTACTGTTGCTCAGAATGGGTAGAGAGTGGTTTTACATTTTGTCATCATCCTCAAAGGCACGAGTGTCTCCATGTCCCAGAATCTGCAGTCTGTCCCCAATGAGACCCCCTGCCTTCCATGCCTCTAGTGTTTGATCCCTCATCCCAGATCTATCTTCAGTTGTTCCTCAATCCACACTCAGACTTCTTAAATCATCATTAAGGTGGGATTCACATAACATAAACTAACGGTTATAAAGTGTACAACTCAATAACATTTAGCTAGTCACAATAGTGTGCAACTGCCTCCTTTGTTATTCTAAAACATTGTATCACCCCACAAGAAAACCCTGCACCCACTAAGCAGTCACTTCTCATTTCCCCTCTCCTCACTCTCTGGAAAACACCACCCTGCTCGCTGTCTGTGGGTTTACCTCTTCTTGATATTTCATATAAATGTGTTTTGGAAATATCCTGTGTACAAGAATTGTCAACAAAGGTGGAAGAGGCCTACAGGCTGAAGAAAGAGGCAAAAACCCCAAGATTACAGCAATTATAACTTATTAAGAGGACTTACAGGCAGAAATGTGTTCTCAGGCAGCCACAAGACCGTGGACTGCCCTGCTCTCGGTCAGTGGGAAGGGGTTATATGTTAAGCTAGACAAAAAGCCCACAGCAGGTGAACTTTCTCAGAAATACTAACATTCCAGGTATTAGATAAGGGATATTCCAGGATCAGGCTGGCAAAAAAAAAAGCGTTGTTTGCGAGTCAGGGACTTGGGATGGCAGTTAGAGTCATCTTTGAGCAAGATAGCAGTTGCATCCCAAATAGCTACAGTCCTATTGTTGTGGTTTGGATAATAGTTTAGGTGTCCCACCAAGGCCTATGTGCTGGGAGCTTGGTCTCCAAAATTATGTTAGCGATTAGTAGATTGAAGGTAGAGACTTGATCCAATTATGGTGCCCAGGAGGAGGGCCCGGTGGGAAGTGTTTAGGGATTGAGGCCATGTCTGTAGAAGGTAGTTCTTGGGAGAGGGTTGCTTATATAAGCCAAGTGGGCCTAGATGTGCACTCTCACTTGCTCACTCTCGCTCTCCTTCCTGGCTCGCTCCACACGTATTCTGCCAAGCTCTGCCCTCATGAGATGCCAGCCTCACAGGGCCCCCATCTTCAACTATGAACCCCAAAACCATAAGCCAGAATCAATCCTCTTTCTTCATAAGTAACCTCTTCGGGGTACTTTAGATTTAGTACTGAAAAGCCTACTTACACACATGTCAAGCTAAATGTCCACAAAATGAAACCATACAATGTGTGACCTTTTACCTATGACTTCTTTAGCTTAGGATATTGTTTTTAAGGTTCGTCCTTAAAAGTAGATGTGAAGCAGTATCTCATTGTGGTTTTGACTTGCATCTCCTTTTTTTAATATTTATTTTATTTATTTGAAAGGCAGAGTTCTAGAGTTACAGAAAGGCAGAGGCAGAGAGAGAGAGAGAAGTCTTTCATCCACTGGTTCACTCCCCAGATGGCCATAATGGCCGGAGCTGTGCTGATCCGAAGCCAGGAGCCAGGAGCTTCTACCGGGTTTCCCAAGTGGGTGCAGGGGCCCAAGGACTTGGGCCATCTTCCACTGCTTTCCCAGGCCATAGCAGAGAGCTGGATCAGCAATGGAGCAGCTGAGACTCGAATGGGCACCCATATGAGATGCCAGCACTGCAGGCAGCGGCTTAACCCACTACACCACCATGCCAGTCCCTCATCTCCTTATTAACAAATGATTTTGAACATTTTTTTCATGTGCTTATTGACCC